GCCTCCCGGCACTGTTCAGCATACTCTTGAGGGCCCACCTTCCTTGTGCCCCCAGGTCTCTGAATTTTCCATCAGAGATTTTCAGACCCAGATAGTCTCTAACTTCAATGAACAAGCCAGTTAAGTGGAGACCCTCCGAGATGCTAGGAATAGCCAACAGAGCAAACAGTTGTTAAACATGTTCCCAGCGAGGGCTTCTGAGCTACAAGCTTGTATGTGGGGTCTCACGATCAAGAATATTCCAGCGGTCAACAGGACAGAAGACGTGAGATCCGGGTCACCTGCCCGGGACTGTGCTGGTGCCTGGGGAAGTGAGATGGTTCAGTGTGCGCTCGAACTGAGAGGCTGGCGGGGCTCAGACCTGGCTCCGAGGCACTTACCAACAAGTAACGAATCTGAGGGCCATGGCTTAGTCACTCATTCATTCATTGATTCACTTCATGTGGAGCCGCCCTCTTTGTGCCCCGATGAGGCACAAAGACTGGCTGGTGGTTACAGTGCCATCATTCCTCTGCCTCTGTTTCTACCCCCCTGCCAGGTGATGAGCCTGTGCTGGGTCTCACTCCTAGGGACCCACACTTACAGCACCTACGCAGAAGCCCCCAGCGGAAGCTCAGGGATCTGAAGGGCACTGATTCCAGTGCTGGCAGGCATCCTGCAAACAGCCAGGACAAGTGTCCCTGGCCCTTCATTGACCACAGAGGGTGAGAATGCGAGCCAAGTTGTGCATACCCATGGTGTGCATCTGTGTGTGTGCATGTGTGTGTGCGTTTGCCTACAATGCTGGTCATGCAGGATCTGCCTCTGTGGTTGAAGGCTGAAGGGGACGCCAATAGGAAGTGATATTGCAAAGTCATCCCCAGTCACTCTAAAAATAACTCTCAACTTACAACACAAGAAGGATTTCCCCTTTCCTGGTACCCTGCCTCAAAACCGGAGCAGTTTCCACTTAGCAGACCTCTTCAGGAGGGCCAGGTGGGTGGCCCTCTCAGAGGCCCACCTGGGATCTGCAGACTATAGGGGCTACAAGCCCACCTCCCAGACGAGAGTGAGCCGGGGGCATGCTCTTCAGGCTCTTCCCCTGCAGAACTGCAAATCTCCCTGCCAGTTTCTCTAACATCTTCCAGAAGCACTAGTGAAACAAATCTCTATGAGCAACTATTCTCTTTGAAACGTGTGAGGAGGGATCACTATTTAATAGACCTAGGAGGTTGGCCCACTATAGTGCAATTTTGGCTCCGCTGAGAGGCTGCTCACTGGGTTAGGGTGGTGAATGCCCTGCCTTTCATGTATGATCAGCAACCCCTCCCATCTGCCGGGCCCACTGGCTCATCCCCTCCTGTACACCTCAGGCACACTTCAGCCACAGGCCCTTTGCACTAGCTGTTCAGACATAATATTGCTCCCTCTGCTCCTTCAGGCCTTTGTTCCAGGCACTTCTCAGTGAGGCCCTCTCTCAAGATTCCCTCCAGAACTGAAGCCCCAACATGTTCTTTATCCTCCTTTTCTACTTTGATTTTTCTCTGAATTTCATTGAGTTCATTGTCTCTCCCCCTCCACTTAGAATGCAAGGTCCCTGGGGCCAAGCTTTACTCTGGTTTGTTCACTGGAAGCCTAGAGACTGGAAACTTCCTGTAAATATTTGTTGAGCAAATGAATGTATGCCTTCTGGGGGTCACGGGGACCGTGGCCTGGGCACACAGATGCCTCTTCCCCAGTGCCTGGAGTGGAGTGGGCAGAGATGGAGGAGGCAGGGAATACATCCTGCCATCCACCAGCAAGGGGGGAAGGGCACAGAGAAGGGGTCCTTGTACTGACCATCACCCAACCCAGGACACCCACAGCCCAGGATGTTCATGTGCCAGAGGCCCCCGTCTGACTCATGGAGTTCCTCATCTCCGGTGGTGGTGGTGGCAGGGGAGAGGGGGTCATTATGTTCACTGGAAGCCTAGAGACTGGAAACTTCCTGTAAATATTTGTTGAGCAAATGAATGTATGCCTTCTGGGGGTCACGGGGACCGTGGCCTGGGCACACAGATGCCTCTTCCCCAGTGCCTGGAGTGGAGTGGGCAGAGATGGAGGAGGCAGGGAATACATCCTGCCATCCACCAGCAAGGGGGGAAGGGCACAGAGAAGGGGTCCTTGTACTGACCATCACCCAACCCAGGACACCCACAGCCCAGGATGTTCATGTGCCAGAGGCCCCCGTCTGACTCATGGAGTTCCTCATCTCCGGTGGTGGTGGTGGCAGGGGAGAGGGGGTCATTTCATACATACATTTGCTCTGTGTGTGAAATACTCCAGGGCCTCGGGATGGGAAGAGACACCACGGACCACCTCCCCGGCCTCCTGTGAACACCTCTGCCTGCTCCAGCATCCTGACACCTAGCTACTAGCCCGGCAGACCCAACCTGGCCAGGCAGCAATCCTGTGCACCCGGGCCAGCCCAAGAGCCCCAGCTGGGGTGTCTGAAGGCAGGCGGTGCCCAGGCAATGCAAAGCCCAATTTGCTCCTTCCCGCTTCCCAGCTCCAGCAGGCAGCCAGTGAACTAGTGGAAGCAGTGCCTTCCACATGAGGTTGTACCTGCTTTACTTGGGGAGAAAAGCCCAGACACACAGCTGCTGACCGTCCTCTGCCTGGGTCTCTGGTCCTAGACAGCAGGGTGGGGGGTGGGGGGTGAACGCAAGCATTTTCACAAGGGTGAGCAGGAGAGAGGAGAAAGGGGAGGATGAGCAGTGGGAAAAATGCCCCTCCCTCAAGGAGACCCAGCATGGGGCACCACCACCCCCACCCCACCACAGGATGGGGGCTTCGTGGGCGACAGTCATCTGGGAGAGTTGTATGCTGCAGCATCTGTGCCTGGCACGGAAGCAACCTGGCTCAGGGTCGGCTGGGAGCCTGCTGGTCTAACCTGCCAAGACATATCTGCAGGGTGTCCCCCAAGGAAATCAGCAGCTTGGCATCTGTCCTTTGACCCTTGCAGGGCCCTCAGAGTGTCATGTGGGACACCCAGCAACCTCTGAAATTAAAGTCGCAACACTTCAATGGGTTTGGGGTTCAAATCTCAGCCTCACGGCCGAGCACTAAAAAATGATTCCTTCTGGGTGGGAAGATGAGAATTACGAAGAGGTGCCCTCTGGCTTCTGGGGCCTAGAACTTCCAGGCTTTCTGGGAGGGCTCCAAGGCAGGCTCTCCTGGCTGGTGTGGCCTGGCTGGACTGAGCCCCTGCGGCCCTGCCCTGTGGCTGCCTCCTGCAACCAACCCCACATCCCTGGCCTCAGCTGCTGTTCACAGCACCCACCACCGGGGCAGGGGGGCAAGCGCAGGGCAGGACCAATGACTAATGAGAGTCATCGTTGAGAATTACTGGATGGCCCCCAGGAGGAGGAGGCAGAGAGCTGTGGCCAGCCGAGGCTTCCCCTGGCCCTGGGTGGCCCGCTGGACACATTATTCTTAGCTCTCCTCTTGCAACCACCCCAGAGAGGGAGGTGTGATTAAGGGTAAGGCTTGAGGGGGGCTGTTAAGAGGCCCAGAAGGATCTGGAGGGCACAAATCCAGGATCAGAGGCCTTTCTGCCACCCGCCCAGTTCCTCGCTTGGGACCAGAACTGAACACTCAGCTCGTGAGCGAGAGACTCTACAGCAGAGCCAGCTGGGTTCTGGCCCCGTGGCAGGCGCGTTCAGTACACAGCCAGCACTTCCTGTTGGGGGGCGGCAGGACCATAAAGGTGGCAAAGGGTGCTGTCTGGGACAGACCCAGGCAGGCGGCTCAGCCCCTGCACTCAGGCGCACGGCTGCACAGGGGTGGCCCCGCTAACGATGGGGAAAGGCAGTCCAGGCCGAGGGCCCCGGCCGAGCAAAGCCCGGGCTCTGACGGGCACATCTGTCCATACAGGCACTTTGCTCTCACCAGTGCCTCCCTGGAACCCACCGAGGGCAGTGGCTGGAGGGGGGCGGGTGGAGAGTGGTGGATTCAGAGGGAACAAGGGTTCTTGGTCATGCTAATTACCTTGGGCTTTACCCTCCTCCAGGCGACAGGGCCTGGCCAGGCTCCAGGTTTGGGCCTTGCTGTGCTGGAGGTGGAAGGGGATGGGGCTGTGGTTCTGGGTCAGTCTTTTGGGGGCGAGGAAAGGCAGCAAAGCAAAGGGGCTCAGGGAGAAGACTGGCAAGCTGTGTGGGGCAGAAGGAGGGGGTGTCTGAAGCCCCTTCTGGGGGCCACCGGGTGGGGCTGCTGCCCTGCGGCTGTGCGGGAGGGCTGCGTGAGAGCAGGTGAGGCGGGGCGGGCCGGGCGGGGAGGCTCAGCCCTGGAACCCTGGCATCGCTGAAGCGCAGGTGGGCCTGCCTGCATGGAGCGGGGCCTGGCAGGATGCGTGGTAGAGGTGGGGAGTGGCTCAGAGGCAAGGGTCTCGGTGGCCAGGGGCTCCCCTCAGAGGGGCGAGGCCCATGCACTTCCCACCCTGTCATTAGGGTTACAGCTGGAGCCAGCCACGGGGCACTGCATCCCTGCAGACCCTGGTTTGGGGGTGAAGGGAAATCTGCTGCCCTGGGAGGGGGGCCCCAAGGCCACGGGGATGAGGGCTGGGGAGCAGTGAGGGCCCCACCACACTCACCCCGGGGGGCAGCTCTTTCCTTTTGAGGAACAGGGGCTGGGAGCTTCCAAGAATGGAAGAGAAACTTAAGGATGGAACCTGTCCCTCTGCCTTTGACCTGCACTGCCCTCCGCGTCTGCCCTTTATCCCTCCGAGTCCCCAAGGTCGGACCATTCACCCAGGAAGCCCCGGCCAATTTAAAATGAGAACCAGGATTACCAGGGGACTTGGCTGGGTTTATTCACCTCCCAGCTTCAGTTTCTTGACCTGTCTCCTGGGGTGTCATGCAGGCTGCCCCCCACTCCTGGTTTTCCCTGATCCTTCCACTGTAGGCAGGACCCCACAGAGGGGCAGGGCTCCCCCAACCTGCCCCGAGGCTCCCAGGCCCATCTGGCCTCCCAGAGCCACTTACCCAAGGCCAAGTGGAGACAGAGACAGAGACAGAGCAGGGGTCAGAACCTCAGGAGCTGGTTCCACGTCCTTGTCTGGGCTGCTAGACCATGCCCTGGAAGAGAGGACCGAAAGGTCACTCGGGGTGTGGACACTCCCAGCCCAGAGCCCGCCCTCCTCCATGTGCCTATGGGGCAGCAGGGGAACTACAGCTTTGTACAGCAAGCCCCACACTAAGTACAGAAAACCCCCGGCTCCCGGCCCCCGTCCAGCCAGTTAGGGCAGAGGCCATGAGTATGGGCACCTCCGGCCCCAGGAGGGAGGGAAGCCCCCCACAATGCTGATGGGAGAAGTCTCCCAGGGGGATGCTGACCACCCTCAGGTGGCTACCACAGCCGGAACCACAGACAGTAATGGCCAGTGGCCTCTGCAGGCTGCAAACCCGGATTCAAGTGCTGCTAACATCACTGAGTCTCTGCGGCCCATCACTACGCCACCTGCGGCTTTATCTAACACGCCAACCTGCAGGTCACTGTACAGGCCCAAGGAGTCATGCACCCCAGGACCCAGCCCAGGCAGGCTCACGGGAGCTCCACAGCCAAGCTTTGGCTCCTGCACACAGGAGGACACCACAGAACTCCAGCCAGCGGCTCACAGAGTCACACGGTCACTGTGAGAAGAGAAACCCAAGTGCTGTGGACATCTGACTAATCCCACCTTCAACCATCACTGCCGGCTTCTGGCACAGGATCCGAACACCCTCAACCATCACTGCCGGCTTCCGGCACAGAGATCCGAACAACCTGCATGCATGGCTGATGGGCTGACCTGCTCCTTCAGCCCCTTCTGTGAACTGCCAGTGCCCTGTATTCTGGGTCACCTAACATTTTCCAGGGTCCTGTATCCTGTAATGATAATGTTCTCACAGCACCGCCCCTATAATGCTGGGTGCCCTGCTGACAGCTATCTATGCATTTATTGGCAATTACCCAATTTAATCCTCCCAACAGCCCTCTGAGGTAGGCATAATTATTAACCCCATTTCACAGCTGGGAAACTGAGGCTTAGAGAAGCTAACTACTTGCTCACGGTCAGGTATCTTCCAAGCGGCAGAGCCAGGATGGAGCCCAGACAGGCTGGGTTCTCACGCCCCCAGACGACACTGCCTTCCACTGCAGGCTCCTTCAACCCCCAGCCTCCCTTAAATGCTGTCACTTCACCTGAGAGCCCATTTTTCTTCCTAATCTACACACATCGCCCAGTTATTTGCTTACAATGAATGGTTCTTTCCTTCATAGCAACAGGTTATATGCACTCACTGGATATAAAGTGGTCCTGAGGACGGGAACCAAGGAGTTCATTCACCCCAGAAAAGCTGGCCCCTGAACAGTGCAGGTGCCGGCGGGGCTCCCTGGCTCCCGAGGAATGAGAGGCTGCATCTCCCCGCCACTGACATGAGCTCCATGAGGGTGGGGAACTGTCATCTTCATTTGTGTGCAGCTGGTTCTGGCTCAGAGCCTGTATGCAGCAGGTGTTCAATAAATAATCAACATTTGACAAATTAATGCCCCAGAATGAATCACATGGATGTTACTAGAAGCAGAGTACACCTTCTCAAAGTTAAAATTCTACCCTGCTTCACCAACATAAAACTTCAAATGTCCATTACATTATTTGAACTCACTGCTAGGACTCAAGACTTGGAGTAGAAAAGCCACGTTATCTTCCCCCCAGAAATGCTCACTGGAAGGTCACTGCACTTTAAGACAGCATCCTATACATAGGGTTCAAACCTTTGAACAACACGAGTTTGAACTGCACAGGTCCACTAATATGTAGATTTTTTCCAATAAATATACTGGAAAATTTTTTGGAGATTTGGGACAATTTCAAAAAACTCAGATGAACTGCAAAGCTGAAATATTTTTAAAAATTAAGAAAAAGGTATGTCATGAATGCATAAAATAAATGTAGCTACTCGCCAATTTTATGATTTACCACCATAAATTCAACAGTAGACTATTTTAGTGGTTAAGTTTTTTGGGAGTCAAAATTTGTACTAAGATTTTCAACTGTGTGGAGGGCAGCTCCCCTAACCCCGGAGCTGTTCAAGGGTCAACTGTGTGCACATTTCTTTCTTTAACTATTTTACAGCTGCTTTATGTCCATAACGAAACTGAAAAGGAAGTACACAGAATCCCCACATACACCCTGCCCGCAGGGGCACAACCTTCCCCATTGTCAGCATCTCCCACCACCCACAGCGGCACGTTCGTTCCAGTCAGGGAACCTACACGGATACAGGTTTCCACCCCTGATCCATAGTTCACATTAGGGTTCACTCTTCGGGTTGTACGTTCTGTAGGTTTGGACAAACACGTCACCACCATACAGTATCCCACACAGTAGTTTCACCGCCCTAAAAATCCTCTGTGCTTGCTTCACCCCATACTTTTGAAGGGTACTTTCAAGGCAATGACCTCAGCTGTTATCTCATGGCTCTGTGGGCCCTGCTTTGACGCTCAGGAAAATCAGTGCCAGACATGGTCAAGAGCCCTCCCCAAGCTCACCTCTGCTAGAATCAGTAACAGAGCGAGCCACGGAATGCGCTAGAAACATTGTGTCCAGCCATCCTTTTATATCCTGCCCCACAAATGGCCTGGCAGGGAGAGCCCCGCAAACCTCTAGTTCACAGAGAAGTAGACTAGGGGGTCACTTGCCACGGCCACACACGGCTAAGAGGGACGCCTGAAACACGAATCCCCAAACTCTTTCCAGAACCCCTCACTAACCCAGGCACTTATGGAAGGCTGTGGGAATGCAGGGAGCAAGCACCCCCTCAGATGAGAGGGTGCTCAGGGGCTGTAGCAGGTGCGCCCCACTGGACACGTCCTTCCGCCACACTGCATGATTAATGCCTGGGGGTCTTAACCTGGCTGCAGGTGAGTCAGCTGTCTAGCTACAAAGGCCCCCCCCACACCCTGCTGCACCCCCGCCCCAAGCCTCCTGGGCACAGCCCTGCACAGCCAACGTGCTCAGGAGCCAGCTCAGTGACAGGGGACACAACCTGTCACAACCCTTCCTGTCTTACACACACAGCCACTCTTCCGGAAAACTGGGTGGTGGGGAGAGCAGAGGAGGAAAAGGAGAGAAGCTCTGGTCCTGGGTGTGCTGCCATGCCATGTGGCTCTGTGCCTCAGACACTCCTGTTGTCTCTGTCATTCTCTGTTTCCCGATCTGAGACAAAGTGGGTGGGCTGAATCCCTCAGAGGCTGGGCCAGCTTGACACCAGGTTTCCTAGCAGGAGGGTCCACCATTCCAGAGGCCTTCAAGGCTCTGGACCCCAGGCAACCTGGGAACACTCCATTAACTTGAATTGCAAATTTCCTCCAGGCTCTATCAGTAAGCCACAGGGGCTCCCGGGCCACGAGCTCTCCTGTAACAGAGAAAGACTGCAGTCATTGCTTGAGACAGGAATCAAGTACCAGAAGTTATTATGCAGAAATAATTATGTTGAGTTATGTCTGGTTGCTCCTGATTTCTGTCCAGCAATTGTCCTGCAAATGGCTTGCCTCTTCTGCTCCAGAAGAGCAAACTGCAGAGAATGGGCTAATCCACACAGACCTGCACAGGTACAAGTCTACTGCTCCAAGCACCTCCTGCCGCGTGGGGCATCAGCATCTTAGGGTGAGGTTCTCTGTGACGTCTATCACTGCACACTTGGGAGAGAAGAGAGGTGGAAGACAAAACCCCCTGGGAGGGGACAGCCTCATGACCTCACCCACACGTGCCACTGCACTGGACCCTCCTTCAAGGCCCTCTTCACATGGCATCAGCCCCATGGGGCTCTCCCCATCCCCCTGACCTCCCCAACCCCTTGTTCACGCTGAGCCTAAGGCACCATCCTCTCTTAGGTTCGGGCACCCTAGGGAGTGACTCAGGCAGCGTCCAGGTCTGACCCATTCTTGCACTCTGGGCTCCTAGCACAGAGCAGGGCGGGGAGAGGGGAGAGGGTTGTGTGGTTGAATTGCCCAGGCTCCAATCCTAGCTCTATTTCCTAGCTATGTGACCTTGCCCCATTGTTTGACTTCTCTCTGCCTCAGTTTCCCAGTGGTAAAATAGAGGTGATAACAATCCTACCTAGTTCATCAAGTTCTGAAAGATTAAATGAGCTAATGCACAAAAAACTGCTTGGCACAAAAAAAGAACTCAATAAATGTCAACAATAACTGAGAGAGCAAAGAGAATATACTTGTAAGGATCTAAGCGAACTAGAAAGACATGAAGTACAAAAACTGACTCAAGAAGAAATACACAATCTGATATAAATAAATAGATAATTTGATATACCTATAACAAGGCAAGAGAGTGAATTAATAATCAAAAAATTAGTCACAAAGAAAATGCCAGGCCCAGGTGGCTTCACTGCTAGCATTTACAAACATTTAAAGAATTAATACCGATTCTTCACAAACTTCCAAAAAATAGAAGAGGAGGGACACTTCCCAACTTGTTCTATGAGGCCAGTACAACCCCGATACCAAAACCAGACAATGACTTCACAAGAGAAGAAAGCTCTAGAACAATATCCTTCATGGACACGGATGCGAAAAAAAAAAACTCAACAAAATACTAGCACAGCAAATTTGGTAACATAAAAAATAAACAGAATCATACACTATGACCAAGTGGGATTAATCTCAGGAATGCAAAGTTGGTTTACTATCTGAAAATCAATGTAAAAAAAAATCGTCATATCAATAAAACAAAAAGCAAAAATCACGTTTATCTCAATAGAAGCAGAAAAGCGTTTAATAAAATGCAATACCCTTTCATGATAAAAACACTTAACAAACTAGGAATAGAAGGGCACTTCTTCAATCTGATAAAGGGTATCTGTGAAAAGCTAACATCTAACATCATACTGAATGATGAAAGACTGGATTCTTTCTCCCTAAGACCAGAAAGGAGACAATGCCTGCTCTCACCCTTCTGTTCAACATCATACTATAGGTTCTAATCAGAAGGCAAGAAAATAAAATACAAGATTGGAAAAAAATAATTAAAATTATCTCTACCTGCAGATGACATGATCTTACATCTAGAAAATCCTAC